ATGTTTTCAATCTGATACTGTGTAATTAGGCCAACTGGCCACCCGCCAGAAGCCTTTATGTAAACTGTAGGGTGAATGAAACTTATCTTTGATTCATTTTATAACATTATTAAATGCTCAATTATGTAAAATCTGTGAGACAATGTTGCCAAATTTGGGTGTATGACTTGAATTTTTTTCCATAAGCATCTGCTGCAGTGCTGACAACTAAAGGATTTACCTTTAAGGGTATAGTGAACATTTTTATAGTTGTATGTTCGAAGTTGACATGTTCCTAATGGGGTTATACTGAACAGAATGGAGAATTTGTAAAGTTTGATCAAATCTTAGTTTGTTTGGCCAGGTAACGAGTGACCATGCATAATAATGACTACACAAACTGCCGATACAGCTGTTACTACTTGATGTGCTATGCTCATCCCCAATGATCTATAAACAAGCTACCACCGCACCAAACCTATTACTGTCTGGATCTCTAGCTATGTCTGATTCTTGTCTAGTAGGAAGCCCATCCTGTAGCCTCCCTTATGTTAATCAAGTCAATTTAATTATAATTAAAAAAGCAATACATTTATCAAAGTAAAAGAAAGCCTACAAGACTTCGTTTAAAATTTCCTTTTCAGGCACAACTGTTATTGGTTTTTAGATTTAATGCCAAGGTGTCGACTCTGAAAAATTTGAATCTTCAACAGAGAAAGGCCACAAAAGGTGGGCACACCTATGGATTTCCTGAGCTTTTGGAGTCCTAGTTATACTCTAAATGGGTTTAGTTTCAATACTGAGACAAATTCATTATAAAAACAAACTGATTAAAACGAATGACTAAGTCAGCATGCAGGAACATATCCCAGTCTTGTGTTTCAGTTGATTCATTCATACTGTATAGATAGGATTTAAAACAACTTATGACCAACACCAGATAATATATAGTTACAGGGTACATTTAATCCCTGTTAATTCTGATTCTATCTATGGCCTCAGTGGCCTGTGAGCAAGTCGAGGACAGAGATTGTATGCCCGAGGTATTATGTATATAGTTAAGTATCATGTACAGACCTATAGGTGTATGCTGATTTGTTAGGCAAAGACTGTTTAACATATGACATAGTTATCCTAGCTAATGACAAGTGAAGCATGCAATATATAGGTACAGGCTACCAACACCACTGTTAGATTTATCTACACTACAGGTAGTCCCCACCGAGTGTGTGTATAACCAACCAGATAACTGGACTGACAAACAATTCTATCATTGTCCATGGCAGGTGTCTTTGCACAGTCTAAATAAAATGTTAAGTTATTCATTAAATCAATATACTTTGACATTCACTTGTGTTTGGTACTTAAAGTGGCAACTGTCTTGTCATTTATACCTACATATGTATAATCATAACCGCTGCCTGTCACTTAACTTAACACTACTGTTTGTATAGTTTGGTACTGACCCCCTACAGTAACATCATAGGGGGTCAAGAAGTTTCATAGGGGGCAAGGCCAGAGGTCAAGTCTCCCTATGAATCTTATTGACTCTCCCCCTATTCAAAAATTAATTGACACTTTGTTAACTTTAAAAGATAATGAAACTATTTTTAGTTGAATTTTTTTGTTAGAGACTCTCTAAGGAATATCTACATTTTAGGGGTGCACCATGTGACAATAACGGACCAATGAATGTGGCAGCAGACCCAAGCAATTAGTTTTCATTCCAAAGCTTTCTAATCTAAACAGTGGCTTCCTTAGTGCATGCATTCTCAAACAGTTTAATTCAAAGTCTGTGCATACCATTATTTTTTTTAATACTTTTAAAGATAAATCCAAACTTTTTGCATGGAATCAATCACAAGTTCATATCATTGAAATGTGAGAAATTGGCATCTCTCACAAAACTACGATAATTCCTGGATATTAGCATAGACATATTATACTGTATCGAATCAATGTTTTGTGTCTTAGCAACATTCAAAAGTTAGTGTAACAACGTTTTCATTTACTTCGATGGAGGTAACACTTCTGAGGGAAACCTCTTTAATTTACCTGCAATACCATTGTATATAAAATTAGTGACTAGCTATAGGATGGACACATAATTATCTTAAATAACAGTAACAGGACCACTGCTGCTACAAATAACAGTGCCTCTGTTAAAGGTATATTTACAGAATATATATAGTTGTAGCGGGACTAGACTGGGTTGATCATCAGCGACCAAGTAGCTCAATTGGTAGAGCATCCGTCCAGAGTTTGGAAAGGTCCCGGGTTCAAACCTTGATCTGACCATGTATTTTTCCGCTCTTGTTACATAGTTAACCTGTGGTTATGAAGCAATAAGCACATGCCTGGTTGCACCCATTTCATATTATACAGCTCAGAAGAAATGCTTTTTCATTGTCCTGTAACAAGATGACTAAGTTTTTATGTTGCCCAAAGGGCTTAAAACAGGATATTTATCGAATTAAAAACAACATCTGTCTTTATCAGTGTATGGAAACCAAATTCACTTGTTTTCATTCACTTGTATTTTCAGCATTCAATTAAATTTCATTTGTACAACTGATCATTATACTATACATTCTTGTACTTCAATGATTTTTTGTCACAAATGGTATAGCTACGAAAACAAAGTGGTATTAAGGGATTTCAGTCTGGGGGTCCAACTTGTAAAGAACAATACAATATATCACTATGCATACCCCGTTTCTGTCAGACATTCACACACAGTTATCTATATGCAGATCACAAGCTTCAAGCACCTGTTTATCTGTATCAATTTGTGATCAAAAGATTCACAGGAACCAATCTCAGTGCCTGGACAGGACCCGATTCCAGAGCTTGTTGGCAGGCTTACTGTACTAGAGCCTGGACAGGACCCGATTCCAGAGCTTGTTGGCAGGCTTACTGTACTCTAGCCTGGACAGGACCCAATTCCAGAGCTTGTTGGGAGGCATACTGTACTCTAGCCTTGACAGGACCCAATTCCAGAGCTTGTTGGCAGGCTTACTGTACTCTAGCCTGGACAGGACCCAATTCCAGAGCTTGTTGGCAGGCTTACTGTACTCTAGCCTGGACAGGACCCAATTCCAGAGCTTGTTGGCAGGCTTACTGTACTCTAGCCTGGACAGGACCCAATTCCAGAGCTTGTTGGTAGGCTTACTGTACTCTAGCCTGGACAGGACCCGATTCCAGAGCTTGTTGGCAGGCTTACTGTACTCTAGCCTGGACAGGACCCAATTCCAGAGCTTGTTGGTAGGCTTACTGTACTCTAGCCTGGACAGGACCCGATTCCAGGGCTTGTTGGCAGGCTTACTGTACTCTAGCCTGGACAGGACCCGATTCCAGAGCTTGTTGGCAGGCTTACTGTACTCTAGCCTGGACAGGACCCAATTCCAGAGCTTGTTGGTAGGCTTACTGTACTCTAGCCTGGACAGGACCCAATTCCAGAGCTTGTTGGTAGGCTTACTGTACTCTAGCCTGGACAGGACCCAATTCCAGAGCTTGTTGGTAGGCTTACTGTACTCTAGCCTGGACAGGACCCAATTCCAGAGCTTGTTGGTAGGCTTACTGTACTCTAGCCTGGACAGGACCCAATTCCAGAGCTTGTTGGTAGGCTTACTGTACTCTAGCCTGGACAGGACCCAATTCCAGAGCTTGTTGGTAGGCTTACTGTACTCTAGCCTGGACAGGACCCATTTCCAGAGCTTGTTGGTAGGCTTACTGTACTCTAGCCTGGACAGGACCCAATTCCAGAGCTTGTTGGTAGGCTTACTGTACTCTAGCCTGGACAGGACCCAATTCCAGAGCTTGTTGGTAGGCTTACTGTACTCTAGCCTGGACAGGACCCATTTCCACAGCTTGTTGGCAGGCTTACTGTACTCTAGCCACAATTAACAGTTTTATGTAATATCCAATGATTAAATGTGCTTGGAGTTGCACTTGTGTTATAAAAAGGAAATAAAATTTGCTCGACTTTGATTGTATTTTTATCATGTGACATGGTGGAACTAGTCACAGAAAGATGTCTTAATAGAGATTTTGGACGGTTATCTAGGGTCGGCCAGATTGTCCTAGGTGAGCCAACCATTCCTGGTTATAGGGGTTATAACCAGCCACCTTACCATACAATTCTATTGATTCTGATTTGCTTGGCAAATTGACAAGTTCAATAGCTCCTGGTCTATGCATGGAGGCGTTCCAATGTACTAAAGCATATCTCTGGCAGTCCTATGACACTAGAGACACTGTAGTCAGCTAAATCAACTAATGATTGTCTTCTAAAGAATATATTTAATTTGAGAACAGCAAGAATATGCAAACTTAAAACTGTTTATAACAATGAGAACAATTGTTGCCCTAGCCATACGATCTGGTCCTCTTGTAGCTGGATACGGACAGGTGAAAAAGCTTACGACAAGGATTATACAGTTACTTGTACAACAGCCTGCTCAGTCAACATATAGTAGCACTACACATGTAAAGGACTTCACAAACACACTGCGTTTTTTGTGATAATAAACAACTATTGTGAGGCTTGTCATTACAACAAATTTCTTATCTATCCTCTAAAACAGGTGAATGATACAGATAAATCTCCACAGCTGACCCTGTCATGTCGCCTCCATCTCAGGCCACCATCAAATGATCTAGCCTAGTCTTGTCTGCGGGGATAACAGGATAATTGACAAAATTGCCATTACCTGGGAATAGCTTCAGACAGCAGCCAAATATTCTTAAACCAGAACAATATATATACCAGATAGCAGTGGTGAGATGTGAATCAGATCAAACGATCTACATTTTCATTTACGTCAGCCCTGATGGTAGCAGACCTACCTGCTGCACTGGTAACCAGCTTCACTACATACCAAAACAATCAGAACCTCTAGTTCCTCTCTAAAAATAGACTATACTCAGGCAGCACCTGTATAAAGGAATTCATGACAAAATATGAAAATTCCAAAAATGTTATTATGGTAAAATTTATAGAGATAGTTTCAAATTCTTACCTTGAATTGTTCGTTTGAAAAAAGCTTTGCATGCCTCACAAGAAGAAACGCCGTAATGATATCCTGATGCTATATCTCCACATACTAAACATATACGTTTAGGTCCATCCATACTTTCGGGGTCTGAAGAGAAAGAACTGGATATGAAATCCATTTTACCATTGTCTATACTGCATGGAGATATGTCTCCACTGTTGTCCCCACTGTTTCCATCAGATCCATAATCGTCTACGTTGTAGTCTGCAAATACATCTCTACCAAAACTCTCATCGAGGGATGGCTGTGTGCACCTACTCAGGCCGAGGGGGCTCCCGGGCTCACATTTAACACTCGATTCCATATCCATCTTGATCACCTTAATACAGTTATTATGTTGTTAGTTAGAACTCCAAAAACGAAAGTAGGATTTGTTTGGAGTTGTTTGAATTGCAATCAGAGCAGACAGCTTTTTCCAAAACGCTTCGTCAAGTTGTCGAGTCAGCAACCCAGAAGTTATTGAACAGCCAAGTCCTATTTGGAGACAAAACAAAAAGCAAGAAAAATTAGAACAAAAAATCTCCAGGAAAATGTCAAAGATTTGTGAAAATCAATAGATTGGCAGACATCTATGGGCTGTGTTTTTAAAATCATAATGTATTATTTTCTGCACTGTTCAACACAATATCCATCACGTTTAAAGTTTCAAGCGAATCTGTTGGTGTTGTGTACAATGGAATCATAACACATTGGACGAGACTACAACAATCCAGGTACATGTATGTACAGAGCTGCAGTAGCGACTGAAGGAGTATTCCAATACGCCAGCACCAAGTGCTGAGGAGAACTGACCTAAGGCAAATTCTACCGGCAGTACTTCGGTGAGCTTGCATGGTGGCTACATCAATCAAACCCAATATATGCCCCAAGCACACTAAATCATCTCAGACAATTATCTATGCTCATCCATCCCATTAGTAATCAGTTAATACGTTTCTATCAATAATTCTACATTCACACCTACCTGTGCACCGCAATTACTCACAGATTACTGTAAGCCTAGTTAACTGTCATACAATTACTTGTTGAAAATTAAGATGGCTATTCAGGAACAAACACTTTGGTGCTAACTGGAGCTCACTAAGTAGGCAAACATACTTGAGTAATCTTAAATAGCTACACTGAAGTTTTCGCAAGAAGCTCAACAAATCCAAGTTTAACACTAATAAAATGCATTTGATAAATGCATGCTACTCCATGTTTTAAAATTACAACATACCCGCTATATCCAATGTATCATTATGTACAAGCTCATTAGTACTAACGTCTTCACATAACGCTAACCTGTAGGATAAGGACAGCGATCTTTATGCTTTATAAAGTGGTTTACAGTCCAGATCTCTTGTATAGACAGAAATGCTACACCCCGCTAATTCCTGAGGTCGGCGTTTGTACATGTATCGCCTGTGTATTATCTACTACACAGTTCTGAGGAGATTACAATAATGCAGATTAACTGTTACAGGACTATGTTGAAGTATACGATTTGACATTCAGCGCTGCAGTAGTGACGTAGTAGTGTGTAGTACTCGTGTATCAATCTGAATGCTATCATATTGGCATTAACTCAAGATCTGCTTTCTTTTTTAAATCTAACAAGCTACTACAACATAAGTGGTATACACAGAGTTCCGTAACTATGACGTTCCTCTATGGTAAATCTATCTACCTATATGCTATACTCCAGAGACCAAAATGGCTTTAACTGCTGCATGAATGACGTCAATCTAGCTCTATAGTCAAATTACACTTAGTTCTTACACCATCTTTATGAAATACTGGGAAATACTTCGTCAATATTAATTTATGTTACATCACCATTGATCTCTAAATTATATATAGAACTGAGATACAAGCCTGTTTTGTTATAAATTCATCCTTAAACTGAATACGACATATAAACCTGTTTGGTTATATTTCCATAGGACACTTGCATATCATTAGCTCAAATATCAGCCTTTTAAATCAGATATGTACACTTACTTATGTGCATAAAGTAAAGCACTGTTAGTACTGCTATACACATAGTAAAATCAGGATAGGCTTCACTTCAATTTAGCGGCCAATAATTTTAAAACGCTCCATTAGATTTGTATTGAATTGAAGATTTACTATCAAGTCTGCTGTAATGAAAATTAAATTGTCATATGCCCAGACAGAATCTGGACTAGCGGCCCAGGTATAGTATATAACAGTGTGTATCACAGGTATCGCATGTCCCTGTATCGTATATCATCCACTCTGTATATATATATACATAGTTATATATCTGTGTGCAATGTGATCACAGTTTCTTATTTAAAACCAAAATCTACACATAAAAATATCTAAAAGTACAAACTGCTAAAAAAAGAAAGAATTGTTAATTTTTTCTTGCAAAATACTTCTTTTCTGAACAGGACATAATTTTGTGATATTTATGGAAGAAATGATCTAGGGAAGGAAGCTGTAAGTGTAAAGGGGTTCGATCTTAGATGGCCAGACTGTGGGGACTTTGATAAGCTAGCTGACAGATGAACACCATGCGAAAAGTTCAAGTGCCACCAGGTGCTCTGCACATTTCCACCATGGAAGTTAGCAAGTAGAAGTGTGATAATATTAGTACTTCAGGTGCAAAGCATGTATCCACACGTAGAGCCTCCTGTCAAGGTAGGGAATTATACCAAACTGGCCCCTAGATCGTGTCCTTGAGTTAAGCCTGTTCGTTTAAAACACAGGTAGCTCACCCCATAATTACATATACTAAAGGACCCGGGCTTGATAAGACTTGGCATTGCTGCAAGGGTTTGGGAAGATTTATGTGGTAAAGACAAAAGTAGCTGATACCAAGTCTCGCCGCCAGGAACAGGGGGGGGGAGCATGCCTTCAAATTAACTCATGAATACCAACCATTGCTGTGCTCAAATTTGCAAATAGATTAATTCTACCAGGGAACATTAAATTGGGCTAACACATAAAAGAAATGAGAATTGATGACAATTCAATACCACGCAAAATGCCAAGTGAGGAAGAAAACTAAATTTTAAAAAGTTAATTTCTTTCTCCAGTAAATGGTTAGTTAAATAAAACAATCAATAGATATAAAAACACAATTTAAATGGTACCGGCTTCACATCACCCGTACATTTTAAAGCCATAAATTTCTAAGTCAGTATTGATTATCATCAGAATAAACTTTCTTAATGACAACAAGAAACACCCACAATTAATGTATAGTCAGATCAATATCTTTCCACTTGATTTACCTGAAGTTTGTCTTTACCTTTAGAATGAACAGATCCCAACTGCTGAGCTGTCACTTATACAAAATCAATACACACCTTTTTAGGCATATCCTTCTACAATCAATTATCAATTTAGATACTAAAAGCCAGCATAGTGAAAATGTCAATTACAGCATGCATTTGCAGTAAGCTAGTGTCATCTATAAACAACATGGTATCTGAGATCTCACAGCCCATGCACACTGTATCCTGTATATGATACATAAACTTTCCGGCCTTACCTGCTAGCTAGCCACTAGGAAGTCAGATTGTAATATCCATAGCCGATGTCCACATTATCCTATCATATACTCCAGCAGTACTACCTCTTGTACGTAGGTTACAATTCCATTCTATGCCAGTATGAGCTCAAGGAATTCCTTCCTTTTTACATAAATTGATTACAAGCAATCCCAATCCTTCATCTATGTATAGCAGTCCAGCATGGCTGTGGCGTAGTGTGGTTATTTTTGGCTCAATAGTACTCAGCTGTAGTGTCTTGACGTCAGGTTCTCACGCATCAAAAGAGGCCTCCCCGTGATAAAACACATGCTCAATGACGCAAACTGCATTCATTGCATTTGGCTAGAGCCGCGTACATACAAGCGGTAGTTTTGGTGTTTACTGGATATCAACAGTAAATTAGACACTCTAATCCATAAATAGTCAAAACTCTTCTTCACCAAACCCCTTTCCACAAAAGCTGCCCTACTTCAGTAGTTCACTGGCCTAGAGTGTCACAAACTACCTGGACAAGCTTTACTGATTTTATGAAGTTTCCCCAAAACGTTGCCTACTTAAAAATTCAGACTAGTTACTCTACTTTATGGATATATTTAATGACGTACTGTATGGAAGTAGTCATGAATTGTAGCATCTACACACACTCTAAACTAGCCTGTTTACTTAACCTCTCCCAGGCCATTACAAACCACCAGTGTCAAAACAACTGTTATATGTACACAATCACATGCTCAAATTTCATTAAATGGATGACACACAGTCCCTGTCTAAAAAAAGTTTTTTTTAATAAAACAAAAAAAAAGGTGTCCTTACATTTACAAACTTTAATACTTTGAAACATCAGAAAAATTCCATTATTTTATCTCAATGCACTTAAAAACCTATGTACTTTATGACTGTGCACTTTTTGTACTTGATCTTTCTATAAACAGTCATTGGATGAACAGCAGCAGCAGCATCGGTATCATATTACCTTTAAACTTTAGTCTAATGTGGGAAATTCCAGCTGTTCATTCACTAAAACTTGTCCTAGCATGTCAGCAGCAGCAGTAGTATGTAATAGTAGTGGTAGTAATGACATCTGGATCACAGGTCATTTATGAAAAGCTTATTTTATGCTGGTGTAACATGGGCGTTTAATCTTGCTAATAAAATATGAATATTTCAACCGTCTCTGGCTAGCTGTCATTGAGATTTATGAGGAGGTCTGATGAAGTATACATAAATGTATTAGACCACAAAATGACCCAAATTTATGTATGAACTGGTTTACGAACCGGATTAAAAAAGACAAGAAAAATTGTGTATCTTGCCGTGTTTGACGGATTTCTTTAAGCTTATTCTTCTTATATCTTATACTAATAATTTCAGATCTGTCTAGATTTACAGGAAAATTGTTGCCATGAATTAGTCTGAATGTTAATTACATGTACTTATAAATAACACTACATATCAGTATATTACAACCTATATTCATAATTTATACATGAACATCACCTCATCTGTACACAAACAAAAATGCTGCCTACCATTTACATCCAGATACGATGGATCAACCCTGTTCTGTGTGACATCGTTTATCAAGTCAGTCAAGTCAACATTAACATCTATTTACTGTCATTTAACACAGAACACATTTAATATAAAGAGAGAATGTGTGATATCCACCATCTTGTAACAATCCTTAACTTTGAACATTGATGTTTGACAATACAAAGTTTATATCAGGGAATTACTTTTATCATTGCACCTTATCAAATGACAAACATGAACTAGATAGCTATTATAACACCTATCTTTGATGCTTTCTCAGGAGCAGTTATGCTAATTAGGGCTATCTCCCTTGGAGCAGGATCATGTGACAGACACAGATCACTTACAAAGGATCAGTCACTGTAGCATGCTGCAGTCAGTGTGCAATGTCCATTCCTTCAAACAAATTACATGTCATTAAACTGAAAAAATATCACAACAATGTTTTACAATTACGCATTACCATTACTCCAGGTGTGCTGTAAATCTGTAAGAGTCCACCTGTACTTAGCAGTAAAACCTCCCCTAACCTAGTGACTACTGCAAATCTCACATGTAAAAACTCAACCATACGTTAAGGACATATGCTACCTTATGTTCAAATGTATCTCCTTTCTAAAATGAGTTCCACATAAAGAAACTGTCAAATATCTCTCAGGCCGAAGCAAAACATATGAGTTTCCTATTCCCCAACCTACATGTGAAAAAATCCTCCTCAGCTGAAACATTTAATAGCCAAGATCCAATAAATTATCAATATTGCTCATAAACACGATATAAAATGTTCAACAACAAACAAAACATGTACACAAAATCTTACTGCAACAGGAAACAAAAATGAAATTTATTTGGCCTTATGATAATTAAGCCTTGGTTTAATTTGTTCAGAGAGAATTGAAATATTCAAGAATGAGTGCAACAAATTCAAAATTCATCAGATAACATTAAATTTTGAAAGGGAGATAACTCTTACATATATCTCGGGTGTAAAGTGTTAGGTAGTAAATTTCTTAAATCTAAACTGTGCAGTGCCAAATAAACCGGGAAAACAGAAGGTAGTTATTAGGTAGAACAGGTTTAAGAAGTTCAGGACCATTCACAATAGGTTATTACAAATCTAGCCTATATACTGACAGCTGGGCAATGGCAAATCAAGAAATGAACATGCATTTGGTAGGGACAGTACTATGGCAGCAATAGGTCATATGGCAATTTGCTGGCTATACCAAAAACCTGTTCTAAACTACTGCTCTATCATATGATACTATATCAAACTTCTCTTTCCATACACGTATAAGCATCCAGATTTCACAAAAACGTTCCAGGCAACCTGTGTAAGTTGTGGGTAACAGGTAATGATTATGGTTCTACAGCAAGTGATCAGCAGGTGTAGGACTGCTTACCTGCAAGTACAGCTTTGCTTAGGACTAGGTCAACCCAACAAGTGTGGACTTCCTCAGCTACTCAACAGAGTAAACATGACCCACAACCACCATACCCTAATGTATCCAGCTCTGTCAATACCTGATAAACAAAGTTGTCCAAAAACTGTGGGTCATTAATCCATCCAGAAGTTTGAAGGACTATGTGGATTTTTAATTCCCACAGCATTTGAAATAGCTACTGGTTTTTTAATCCATTGTTTTTAGAATGGCTACACTATATATATACCAACACAGATTTTTTTCCCATCAATAATTTTTGAAAGACTACATCAGACAAATATGTGGGTTTTTAATCCAAATTACACAAAATAAAGTTAGCCATGTAATTTATACAGTTTTTAGAATAGCCACACCAGGCAAAAATATATTTAATCTTAACAGCATTCAAGAACTGCTACACCATACAAACAAACATGTGGGCTTTTAATCCAGTTTTAAAATGGCTACACCAGATATACAGCACCTATACAGCACCTAAAATGGCTACACCAGAACAAGAGGCCCATGGGCCTTAACGGTCACCTGATATATTTATACAGAGAGTTGATTTTGTTTTTAACATGAACAGAAATATTATTCAAAGTGACAAAAAACAATAAAACCACCTTACTCAATATCTAGCATACAGATTTCAGACTGAAAAGGATTTGAAACTAGCACCTCTGATTCT